CTTTAACACACACACACACACACACACACACACCTTGTACAGAAAACATGAAGTCCTTACTTTCATAGCTAAGGCTTATTTGCTATTTCAGCAGGAAATACATCAAAAGACAGAAAACCAATAATTTCATGTTGTTTTGTCCGTACTAAAGCTTTAAATTTGCTTACATTTTACAGCATACTGTCAATGAAACAGTGTATTTAATTGACAAATAAAATTACTTAACAACTTCTTATGATTATTCATGTTAATGTTTTTTTTCTATTTTAATTAATTACATCAATGTGTAACATTACCAGCATGTATAGCATGTTTCCTAAAACAAACAATCACCACAGCAACAGTTCTGTGCTGTCATTTCTTATAAATTTTATATAAAATACATTTCACATAAAATGTTAATGATGCACGTTTTTGCAACTCTAGTTGAAACATACTCAATGATTTGGAAGTTCTTTGAACTGCATTTTCTTAGACTCTGTTTCTCAGTGAATTATGTTATATTGGCTGACCAAACCTACTAAACAAGTGAAGAAGAAAAAATCCTCCTTAAAATCTGATTATTTTTTTATCAACCTCACTTTTCTCCTTCACAGTTTCATGACCACTTCCTTTTCTCTGTGTGTGAAAAAAGAAATTGCCTGCCACCAAAGACCTTCATAACATGAAAGTACATTTATGTTTCATGTGAGATTGTGGCTTTATCTTATCACATTTTTTGGCATACTTGTTTCTAAAGCCTTATTCTGAATTCTGAGCAAGAAGTAATAAATCCAAATCAGGGTTAATAAATGATCAATGCTGAAACCACAAGGAATGTCTCAATGGGGGCATGACCCCAACAGTCGTGAGGCTAGAATAATTCAATCGCTGCCTGGCTGCTTCTATAACACCATTAAAAAATAGCTGAAAGTGATTATTTCTGTCCAAAAGCAATAAGTACTTTCCAGTTTTGTGCACAGTATACATCAGACTGTTGCCGTGGGCGGTTTAGACTGTGACCCCAATGACAATCATTTGTGGGAAACGCTAGTCTGGCCATTAAGTGTGTGAACTGACATAGACAGGAGGCATTCAACAGTCATATCTGCTGGAATATATCAGAAATCATCACATAGCCTGAAGGCAGGCTGACGGAACTGATATAACGGAGGCATATGTTACACTAACAAGCAGTCACCTAAAGAGGATTTCTCTTTTTTGATCGCCTTGACCTGTCAATCAATTTAATACCAGTAACACAAATTAATAGTCAGTCCTGGTTCAGCTGGAAATCAGCCAATCTTCAGTGTTTGCAGGCCAGCAGATCCACTCAGTGAAGACAGTAGGAGAGGTTTGACACAAATGATGATGCTCTGAAGCATAGCAGAGAGCTTGGGGGGTTATACTTGTTGACATTTACAAGCCACATGCTGGCTTAATGATGCAGGAACAGAAGCAGCCAGTGCACCTTAGCAATGACCTTTAGCACACTGTGGGAGTGGACCCACAAACCCGGCCGGTCAGATACACAAGACGGTCAGTCTACCTCTGAACTAGCACTCGGACAAGCCACTAATGGAGCTCATTTTTTATGGCAGATAGGGCATGGTTGTTTAAAGGGGGGGTACAATGCTGTTTCATGCATTCAGAGTTGTTTACACTGTTAAAGAGTTGGATTCTCATGCTAAGCATGGACAAAGTTTCAAAAAACAATTTGGACGTATGACGGAGTATTTCTGTCAAAAATCGTACTTCCAGGTTTGTACAAGTTTCGGAGAGTTTTTTTCGATCGTGGCTCTTCATGACATAAACGAGGGTGGAACTCCTTATATGGGCATTTCTCCCGGAAGAATTTTTGTGTTTGTTGACGAACGTTTTATAAACAAGGTCCAGTTCGACTCTGGATTTGCACATTGTTTGATACTTTTTCCGGAGAGAATCGTAAAGCTGTATCTTTCTTTTATAAATATGATAAAACTAAAGACTTTTTGGAGATATGAAGGATGCAGTACTACTCTATAGGTACTCAAGATTAACATGAGATTGGGTGAAACTGTGTGTGTTATGCCCCCTTTAAGGTCTGAGCGGTTGTTTATGGTGGCCCAGGGTTTGATGGATTTTCAGAGAACACCTCTGGGATTTGCTGTTAAGGCATCAACAGTTTTGAAATGCTATAGATACGGCGAATAAACACGGCAGGGATCCCTAAGTCAAGTGCAAGTAATGAGCTATTGATTTCCTGCACCCTGTGACATAATCTTGACGGCACAACATCAGATTCGGACCACTTTTAGCTCGCTTACGAAGGAAAAGAAGCAATGCATTCACTAGAGTTTCTAAACAACACATCTAAATCTTTAAACCTCATATTGTGTTCTGGCTATTTTTTTGACCTGGAAAGAGTATGAAAGGGACCAGCATACAAAAAAATTGCTAATAAATTTCTCAAGCTATGTTATTTAAAACTAACTGATTATAGGCCTCATTGATCTTATACGCTTATTGAGCTTATACTCAGTTTTTGAGTGACTACTGCCAACATTATCCACAAATGATCCACAATTTATTTATTTTTTCACTCAAAAACAGAGGTCCACAAGTTCAGTTCAGATCAATAGAGCTTATGATCAATCAGTTCTAAAAAAAAATTATAATAAAAAATACAAAACCTGTGCTAATTAAAACATGTTGACAAAAAGATTGGATCCAAGATTTGGTCATAATATAGCATAATGAGAGATTTACAATTTACTTTTTGACCGGGAACACAAAATTAGGTAAAGAATTTTCAGCACAGCACTTAATTGAGCAATCTTTTTTTTTTTTTGATTTTAAAACATAACCTTACCATTAGTTCTTGTAATGAAGACAAAATTCTGAAGGTGAAATTGATAGAATTGTTTGAAGAGCAGTTAACTTTCTGTTCTTACCTGGTAACGTGCTTTTAAAGTCTCCAACCATCCATGCACTCAGTGAGAGTGTTTTCTTGTGCATGCATTATATTTTATGACTCTTCAGTGAAAATCCTTTCATCTTTAACCTCTTGAGCGGATCATTCATTCCATTTACTGTCTGATGGCTCTCTTATACTATCTAGGTATCACGGGTTCATATTTTTTGACCTTTTTGATCCCAGATAGCTGATTTAGGATCTATATCAGACATTACCGCTGCATTACACCAGGTGTATTCAAAAAGAAATTCAAAGTTATAAGAGAGTTATGAGGGATTTTATATATCTAATAATTGAATATCTTCTTGTTTTTTTGTTTTTTTTTACTAAAAATAGCCTACCCTTAAACCTCTTAGACAAGTAGAAAAAAGTGAGAACATTTTGTGCAAATACTAATAGAACAGGCATATATCAGAAGTCAGGTCAGATGTGTAACTGTCCAAAATGTGCATCTGAAGCACCTTTTATGTTCCGTCGATATTTAAATGTAAACCAATACAAATCTGTTCCCTGAGGTTTTTCATAAGACCCAAAAAGAAATTCAAAGTTATAAGAGAGTTATGAGGGATTTTATATATCTAATAATTGAATATCTTCTTGTTTTTTTGTTTTTTTTACTAAAAATAGCCTACCCTTAAACCTCTTAGACAAGTAGAAAAAAGTGAGAACATTTTGTGCAAATACTAATAGAACAGGCATATATCAGAAGTCAGGTCAGATGTGTAACTGTCCAAAATGTGCATCTGAAGCACCTTTTATGTTCCGTCGATATTTAAATGTAAACCAATACAAATCTGTTCCCTGAGGTTTTTCATAAGACCACATTTTGCACATCATTTTTCCAATTAAGATCCACATTCTGCTTAAGTAAATGTAATCGAAACTAATATCACTCAAAATTAAGTTTGTTTAGAAATTCACAAATGAAATTGTTGTCAAATAAGGTGTAGCCTATATTGCACATATTGTTTTCATGTTCAAAAATTTGACACAATATGGCTTTTTTCCCTTTATCTGGTTATAGCAATCTGTTTAATGCGTTTATATGATGCTTGCATGATCAAATTATGACAGTTATGGTTAACATGGGAATGTATGCATGTAATAATCATTAGATTCAAAACATTGAAAATCTTGTGCATGTCAGAATTTCAAATTCAAAAGCTGTAACAAAGTTTACTTAAGGGTTTCACCTTGGTCTGTCAAACAAAATATCAGCTGTAGCCTATAATAACCTGAGTGAAAAATATGACGCTTTTCATTTGGGATCATTAACAATCAGAAATGACCTGCCCAGTAGTCTTGTGCCCTAAAGAACACGCCCTGCACTTACTGCTTATAATCAACAACAAACCTCTAAAACACACGCGTGCGCGCACACAGGCTGACGGTACCGGAGTGATTTATATCACGCCTACCTTCCCTCGGCGTGTGCTTGCGGAAGAGCCGTTACCTGGTTACAGGGGAGTGATGGAGCATTGAGTAACGTGATCTTCACGACTCCTCAGATATGAGAGTTTCTCTCGCGCTCGCCGAGTCAAAGCACCACGCGCTGTTCTTGCAGCATTTACGGAGAGCGCAAGCAACGGCTCGTCCAGGAAAAACGCTTTAACCTCTGAATTAAGGTACAAATATCACCACGGACAGTC